GTCCTAAGGGGTCGTTTGGTACGCAGGATAAGGTGGGATAAGGTGTGAAATTAAATTTATATCATGTTTGGTTGGCAATATAAATTTATCCCAGGATAAATTTGTACCTTCAATCAAACATGGTATAAATTTAATCCCAATCTTAATACAGGATATCCTACCTTATCCCATCAAACTTGGGATTATATTATTCCACCTCAGTCTAAGTTAATTCGCGTACCAAACGACCCCTAAGGCTGCTAACCTGTTAAAGTTGAAACACGCTCAAGAAGCTACCAAAACCACATCACATCAGTTTGAAATGATATTAAACTTCAGCTTCTAATTCTTACAAGCATTTACAACAAATTTTAATAATACTCGTCCAAATCAAAATCCAAACAACTATATTGAGCTTTCTATTCCCAAACCCAAGCTTCAAAGCTTCTTCAATGATGGACAAATTTTATTTTTCTTTAACTATCATCAACTACGTCCGGATTATAACCATGTTTTTAGCTTTGTACAATTAACCAGATAATTCAATAAATAGCAGTCGAGTATATTATTGTAGTTAGTAGTGTAACCAGGAATTTACCTAAGGGTGTTAACCTTTGGATTTAAAAAAGAGAGAATTACATATACATTTAGGTAGCCCAGTCACAAATTTACAAATTTATAGCCCAAAAATAATAGGCCAAGGTCCGAAAAAAGCTTTTTGTACACCACCAACTCCTATTATTATTCCTTCTTCATAAATTCCCGGGCTTCGCACAGATTCCAATTGAAACAATCAACTTCAATGGTGGCATTTATTTTCTGAAAATACGTAGGGGACTTTTATATTTGAACTTGTATTTCTTAATAAAAAATTGTGTAGAAATGGAAGCAGTAGAAACATCTACAATTCTAGAGGAAAACTCGAAAAGATTTGTGGCAAGTTTGTGATTTGGCAGAAAAATCAACAAAGAAATCGATTTTATACAAAGATTTTTTGAGAAAAAGTAAGAAAAAACACAAACATTTTAATTTTAGTTTTAATTGTACATGTGCTGTATATTATGTATAATAATATATAACTTTGTATAAACTTGTATATGAATATACAATACTAATGTATATAAGAAAAACTAGAAGAAGAAGAGAAGAAAGTATCAAACTTCCATTGGAGGCCATTTATTAACTAACAATATATATAGACATCCTTGTACACTGAAAAAATTATAGTTATATAACATAATACACAAATATACATACTTATACATATCAATACACAATTATACATAATTATACAATATTGTATAAGTATATATAAATACCAGTTATAGAAAATTTACACTAGAAAATACCTTATGTCCATCACCATACCTCTATTTTAACACCAAAAAATTGCCTCACGAATTCACAATGTTATTCGAATTAAAAAATTCAAAACATTCGAGTCGATTTTTTAGATAACCCATCAGTAGACTCGAAAATTTTCCGTCCAAAATTCTTCACACAGTCGTGTTTAATGCACAGGAATATCCCTGAATAATCATGGAGCTTTGAGCTTTAAAGAAAATGGCGTTTTTAGATCTAAAACTACAATCCAAATTCAAGGGATACAACTGGTGAGGTGTGGCAGAGAAGATAGGAATAGGGAGTGACGGAAATGAAAAGAGAAGGAGTTGTGGTGGAGAAATGATGGAAAGAGTGAGGGGGACAGCGAAGAAGACGAGGGAAAAGAGTGTAAGTCTTTTTATCTTTTGTTTTTTCTTGTTAGCAACTAGGGTTAAAGAGTGAAATAATTTTTACATATCATATACAATGTGGGCTAGTTTTGGTAGCATTTAAAAATACGGACCAATTTTGGTAGCATCATTGTGTCAATTGTATTTGAGCGTAATTTTTTCTTAAAATAAGGTAGTCTGGTGCACTAAACTCCTGTTATACGCAAAGTCTGGAAAAGGATCGAATCACAAGGATCTATTGTACGCGCATTTCTACCTTTGGATAAGTAAATAAATTTTTTTTCGATAAATGGGTGCACCGAAATATTTTAAAATAAATTACACATTATTTAGCTAAATCATAAACACTTTAACAGAATTAACCTATGTATAAATCAAAATCAATATAAAGGAATCAACTAGTGAAAGAACAATTCAAATATATTATTATAATTGTACTCTACGAGGTCTCATCTCTTGAAATATTTTTATAACAGACTCAATAAAAATAGTACGAAATAATTTTTTTTTCTACGTAAGGCACTACACAACCGTCTAAAAATTCATCATCCATTCGATTCCGCAAGTCATTCTTGATAAAATTTATTGCAGAAAAAGCTCTTTCAACAGTTGCAGTGGCAACTAAAAGAAGCAAAGCAAGTTTTACTAAGCAAAATACAAGAGGATAAGTAATATTCTTCTTTTTCTCAACTAGCTTTTTTGAAAGTTCACCTAAATTGGAGAACATTTGATCAATACCACGTACATAAGCAATATATTAGCAAGTTGATTCTCAAGGACACCCAATTTAAATTCATCAAAATCATCAGGATATGATTTAATCATTCTAACTATCTTTCTGATGTCAAAACTATAAAATGAATCAACTGGATTCAGGCAAGCTAATCTATGAAACAAATCACTTGTTACCTCATTGAAACGGTTGTTAAGTTCTTGAAGCTGCTAATCAATAATCTTATAAAATACATTCACACGATAATAATGTTGTCACAACCCAAACCGATGGGCCGCGACGGACACCCGGTACCTTACTCAACCGAGTACCAACGTAACGTATATTTCTTATTACTTCATCATATACACATGACATACGGGCCTAATAGACCAACATGATCATTTATAAATTTAAAACATAGGTTGACAAGGTCGTACAATCTTTCACTTACACGACATATGTCTACAAGCCTCTAAGAGTACATAATTATCATAAAGGTCGGGACAGAGCTCCGCCATACTAAACCATACACATCTAAATCATATTGACCAAACAAGCAACTCCGGAGCAAATGGAGTGCACTAATATCTTCTATTGAGTTGATCGCCTACTTGGAGGACTCTCGACCTGTCTATCGAGACCTGCGGGCATGAAACGCAGCGTCCCCAGGCAAAAGGGACGTCAATACAAATAATGTACCGAGTATTTAAGGAATGATAATCAGTAAATAATAGACATGAAAAAAATATGGAGTAAAAGACTCGACATGTACGCTTGCATAACTCTGTGAATCATTTTATTTTTTTATAATGTCATGCATGTGCGTATAAATGTCATACCATGCATAGGTATATGTGTTCATAACATCATCAAACCTCTGAGGGCATCCCATCATATCATCTCGGTCACTGTGGGCAAATCATCAACGTATACCAACTGATCAGGTGGTGATGCGTATATAACGTCGTAACCTTTTTCCATATTTCATATACATATAATATACATATATACGCGTATATAACACCATCTGGTCATGGGTCAATGTATATGTATAAATGCATGAAATGCATAAGAAATACGTTAATAATATTTTCTCGGAATATCATAAAAATAATATGCCTTAAGAAATACGTTAATAAGATTTTCTCGGAATGTCATTAAAATAATATACTTGTCGGATAAATTTTATCAAATACGTATTTGTCTGAGACCCATGAACAGAAGATATAATAATAATTCACATGGGAAATCAAGAATATAGACACCCCTAATATTTTTATGAATAGAGTCATTTATGGAAATTGTGCATTTGCTCATTTCGTATAGATCATGCCAAAAGGAAAGAAGGGATAGCCTTAACATACCTGGAGTAAGGAAAAATCCGTATGATATTCTTGAAAAAGGTTACACCGTACTCCCTAGAATCGCAAAATCCCATTGCTATTATGCTAAGAAGTTTCGTATGAATCTCTTGCTGAAGCTCGTTACGTTACTATGAAGATAAATATCTCTCTTTTGTGAATTTTATCCAAATCTCACGATTTTTGTTGAATCAGAGAGGTATTTCATGGATTTTGTTGAAGTACTCATGTTGCCTTCTCCATATTTTTGTGAATTGAGTCTTTTATGGCTTTAACCAAGATTCCCTCTAAAGTGCCACCTAGCCTCACAAATAGTTAGTCACCTTAGGCTTTAATTAAAGCTTCCCACATGCTGCCACCTAGCCTCCCAAATAGTTAGCCACCTTAGGCTTAATTAAAGCTTCCCACGTTATTGGCTTTACTCAAAAGCCTTAATTAATTACCCACCAATCCTTAATTAACTAGTTAATCTCTTATTAATCAATAATTAACCAATTACCCACATAATTAAGAATTATCTTAAATTACTTAAAATACTACTCCTTTTTAATACACTTTATATATCATACTATCATGGCCATATGATATCTTATATGACACTAGTCTATAAATACTGGGTATTATATCTCGGATCGTATTTTATCCCAAATTATCAAACTTCGAGGAATTTTATTTTTTTCGATTTGCTTACCCTCTCGCCTTCATGAATATTCTCATCACTTGTTTGGAATAGCATAATACTTATAATCCCAAAATAATCTCGTTCTCGAGCTTACGTCGATTAACTTACGACGAAATATTGGCGTACAAAAAAAATACGGGATGTAATATCTCATTTCCGAACTCTCATCAATTTATTTATGGCGTGATTTCATATACGAAAATGTGGGGTGTAACAAATGTAAAATTGTATGATCAACAAGTTTACGTCGTGATATTCCAGAGTTAGCATATGGCTCATCAAAATTGGATATCAGAATATCATGCTTGATACAAAATGTAGATACCTTATCTTTAAGTGGATCCCATCCACTAGCTCTTAACTTTTGAAGCTTTTTTTTTTTGCTACTTCAACAAGTATCATGGCATTAGCAATATCCTGCTTCTTTTTCTGGAGCGATATGTTAAGATCATATGTGATTCTTAAAATATCTTCCATAAAATGTAATATGAAAGCAACCTTAAACTTCTGGAATCTTCTAAGATACCCTGCTACTTAGCTCTTCCATCTAAAGTATTTGCATTTTCAACAAAAGTATTAAGTACATCAATAATAGAGTCAAACAAAAGTATACAATTTTCAAACGGCTTATAGTAAGCTCCCCAACGAGTATCACCGGCTCTAATAAGACCAAGCTCTTGATTCGAGCCTCTGCTTGTTTCTAGCTCACCCATATCTAATGTCTCTTGGATTTTTTCTTGTTGAGATTCTAGAAGTTCATCCATACATTTAAAAGAAGCTTCCAATACATTCAAAATATTTGAAACTAATAACACAAGTTCTTCCACTTGAACACATATTTTTGAAACCACCACAAGAGTTAATTGAAGTTGGTGGGCAAAACAATGAATAGAATGAGCCAATTCACTTTCTTGTTTAATCAATATTTTAAGACCATTGATATCACCTTGCATATTTCTTGCCTCGTCATAGCATTGTCCGCGTACAGAAGATAAACTTAATGAATAATGAGCAAGTACGTAAAAATTTGCTTTCTTCAGAGATAAAGCACTAGTATCAGGAACATGAACAAGTTCAATAAATACTTTTCCTTTTCTATCAACATATCTTAAAACAATAGCCATTTGATTTTTTCGTGACATGTTAGAAGATTCATAAACTAATAGAGAAAAGTAATCATCATTTAGATCCTCTATTATAGCCTTAATTATTTCTATTTTACATACGGTCACAATTTCTTTTTGAATGTATGGAGAAGTCATCTTATTATTTTGGAGCATTTTGCAACACAAAAGTCTTAATCTTTTCACATCTATCTCGGTATCATGAAAGAACTTTAAGAAAGTTACCCTGTTCAATGACAATTCACTTTCATCGTGACCACGGAGGGTCATTCCTTGATTCAAGAGAAGTCTTACCGCATCAATTGAAGCATTTAAGGGAAACCAATATTCAAGTTTTATTTTATCAGATTGCTTGTCAAATGCAGCATGACTGGACTATTATTGTTGCATTAGATCTTCATAATTTTTTTTGCTTGATTATGAACACTACTCGGCCCACCAATATGCTTTGAGAAACTGTCTTTGATCTTATGCCAATTTCTAAAATCCTTTACTTCAAAATATATCACATCCACCTTGATGAATATTATCACCTTTAAATAAATAACAAGGTAAATAATATGCTGCATCTGTACTCACACTATACTCCAACCAGTCACCATAATCATCAAACCATTTAGAAACAAAACAACGCTTTGATCATGAAAAGTCAAATTGAGGGAAGCCATGATTTCAAGGTTGAAAAGGATCAATTTCAAGGTATTCCGTCCTTATTTCATCACGATGGTTTGGATGATAATTCAAAATTGGAGTTCTTTCAGCTAGAGCACGATTTAGAGCATTTAAATTAAGTTTTTATCTCTTAGCAGAATGCAACGGTATTTATGATTTGTCTATAGTTTCTTCTCGATTAGGTTGATTTTGAGATGTCAAACTTGTTTTTGGTACTTTGCTAAAACAAAATTCTCAAGTCCATTGAAACTTCAAATTAAACTGAAATAATAGTCAAGTATGTCACACTTATTAGAAATAGGAAGAACATCTATTAAAAAGTACTTTAAGTACATACTGTAACATTATACAAGTCAAAAAAACTAAACTTGAAAATCAAAATCTGAAAATTCAAACTATGTCCCAAATTTGTATACACATCCACCTATTTATTTTTCCTTATTTTCTTATTTAAAGAATAAATATGTGTTCAGGAATTATGAATCGGGTTATCTAAGTATCAATTATTTTATTCTAGTTATAAATCATTTCAAAGATTTAGAAATATTTAGCAAATTTTTAATCTCTAAAGACTCAAACAATAAAATTCAGTTCACAAATTGAGCCAAAATAAAGAAAAAAAAGAGAGAAAGGCAGAAGAGATATAACCTGAAATTGAAGCAGATTCAGAGGTTAGAGTGCAAGTTTTCACGGTTTCACTGGCATCCGACAATGGTAACGCAACATGCTAGCATGGAGAGAAGAAAACGAGGATCTTTTGTTTCTACTCATTGTTTCCCCTTTTTCTATGTTGACAAAGTTAGGTTTAGGTCTTGTAGAGAGCTTTTAGGATTTTTTATTAAATAGATTTTAATTAAATAATGACTTTAGTATTTGTTTATTGAAAAATTAGAAAAGAAAAATAAAGTCAAAAGTTGGTTGGGATTTGGGTACAAAACACACTTCTACTCTACTTTTGAAAAAGAACGATGGATCTGAAAGTTATATAATGTTTCTTGAAAAATGATATTATATAATAAATGTGATGTAACCATGCTTGCATTGAGATTCGAACATAGGATCAATAGTACATTTTGTACACCATTCACCACTAGGCTACTTCACCTAGTTGTATCAAGGGTACATTTTGCACACCCTTCTATTTTACATACGGTCACAATATTTTTGCGAAAGGTGTTCGCCTGACCACCCTTGGAGCACTGTAGCTCCGCCACTGATTGTAGTATATTGTATACCATTATAGTATACTATTGCAGAATATTGCACATTATTACAATATACCTTTGCAAAATATTGTATACTATCATAGTATATTATTGTAGTATAGCTATATACTATTATAGTATATTGTATATCGTAGACATATATTGTTGGATTACTTGATTCTTCTTTGATTTTCATCTAAAATATTCGATCTCAATCACCTCAAATCATCTCCAAATGCGACTAAATTTAAGTATGAACTTATCAAAGGTACTATAAGCAATATTTTATAATACCCACCTTAAATCAAACAATAGATCTTTAAAATAAAATTTCAGATTCAAGAGCTTCAAGCTCAATAATGGTGGGTCTTCAAATACGCAAAAAAAATAATCGGATTTGGGAAGCTTTCTTTAAGGTACTTTAAGTAGTTTGGGCTTAATAGGCAAATTATTTAGTTTTCTTATAATTGTTTGCCCATATGAACAAGAATCCTTCTCTAATTTCATTATAGACCGCGATATCGTGTTGTTTTGTCACGACCCAAATCCCATAATAGGTCACAATGGCGGCCAATGATGTGGTTCCAATTTAATTATCCCATTTAGCTTTTAAACTTAAAATTTTCATTAATTAAATAGGAACTAAACATGAAACTCATGGAAACATATGCACTACTTTACCAAAAATAACGGGTATGAATAGTACATAAAGTAATATGATAGTAACAACAAGTACAACTGTGAAAGTCCACTAGAAGCCCCCAAAACCCGATGTCACAAGTGCATGAGTAATCTAGGGAATATACAAAATTACTACAACTACTGTCTAAAATAAAATAGATAGAAATAATAAATAAGGTAGAGGAAGAATTCGTATGCTGCAGATCGAAGCAAGGCAAGCAGCTCACCACTAAGTTTTCATGGAAATGCGGGCGCGACCACTGGAAGTACCTGTCTCCGTACATGCACAATCAGTACAGATGTGTAGCGTGAGTATGTAAATCAACGCGTATCTAGTAAGTATCTAGTCTAACCTCGAAGAAGCAGTAACGAGGGATCGACTTGACACTTACTAGTGGTCAAATAATAAAATACATAAAGTAGACATGTATGAAGTACAATAAGTAGTAACGAAACAGATAAACTTTAATAGTAAATTTCCAAACATGGATCAATATGAAATCACTAAAATGTCATAACCGGCCTAGGCACGAACTCAACTGATATCAATACCAAATCAAACCTCAAGTATTAAGCACGAGTCTGCCGAGGCGAACAACCTAATCCCATAGGAATAGCGATACACAGTATTGCCGAGGCGAACGACCTGATCCGATAAGAGTAGTGTTACCATATTGCCGAGGCGAACGACCCGATCCCATAAGAGTAATTTACAACACTGTCGAGGCGAACAGTCTGATCCTATTAGAATAATTTACAACACTGTTGCGACGAACGACCCAATCCCATTAGAATAAAGAAACTATCTCACTCACGAAAATACATGTGAATTGGGAAGACACAGATCTACTGTTCATCAAATATTCCACAATTTCCAACGTAAGAGAATCAGTCAATATTTTATTCTAGCCTCAGTCTGAGTCATAAATTAAGGAAATCAAATATACATGGTCAATATTTTATTTTAGCCCCAGTCCCAGTCATAACTGCTAGGCTGGCCCCTCATGAACTGAACCCTGCCCCCAGACAGGGTGCCACAAAATCTGCCAAAATGCCGAGGACTCTTATCCCTCGGTACAAACTCTCTGATGTGGTTACGGATACGCTCGATCCTCCGAGCTATATCCAAAACCTTTAGGAATAAAGTTCCCATCTCGGCCTCGCGGGCCATAGAAACCTAAATCTCAGGGTGCAGACCTAAAATAAACCTCTGCACCCTCTTTGCATCCGTGGGGAGTATACTAGCCACATGACGAGACATGTCAGTGAATATCGCCTCATAGACAGCCACAGACATATGACCCTGTCGGAGCCGCTCGAACTGACCCTAAAGCTCTTCTCTCTCTGAAGGTGGAATATATTTCTCCAAGAAAAGATGTGTGAACTGGTCCCAAGTCAAGGAAGATGAACCTGTTGTCCTTCTTAGGAGGTATGCCTGCCACCATCTGCGGGCCTTGCTCTCTAGATGAAAGGTGGTGAAGTCCACCTCATTGGACTTTAATACTCCCATATTACGCAGCCTCTCCTTGCAACAGTCAATGAAATTTTGTGGGTCTTGTGACCACTCACCACCAAAGACTGGAGGATGAATCCTAGTCCACCTGTCCAACCGCTTCTGCTCCTTAACGGTTGCAATCGGTCCGGTCTCTGGTCTAACTGCAGTAACTAGTTGAGCCCCACCCGCAGATAGTGCACCTGAGGTCTGATAAATGGCAGCAGCGTGCCCTAGAGCAAGAGTGGTAGGGGTCTCTGCTTGATCGCGTCCAATTGCATACCTCAAAAGAAGTATGAAACGATCGTTAGCAATTATAGAAACCCAACTAAGAGTCGGGATCAAATCAACAAGGAGCTAAGATGGGAGTTAGGGGGTATATATTTCAATGTGCGTGATTGAATTATCGAGGCTGCACTTCCACAAAAAGATTGGTTTTCTATTTCTAATTTTTACTCTATTGATTGCAAAATATCGAAAGAAAACTAGAGATAACTATTTTTGGGGTTTTTTCAAATTGATAAAAAGTCTAGGGTTGTGATCATTACCTAGGTGTTTGCCTAATGGGAAAAAGACTTTAATGTTTGTTCTGTTGACTGGGGTGTATTATAGCTATCAACTCTAAATTATCCACTCAATACCTCTCGGTCAAAGAGTGATTTTGTCCAATTTGGCTTTCTCAAGACGAAATGGGTATCACATAAAACATTTGATAAAAGCTCAAGTCGGGTTATTACTATCTCTAGGTTGAATCCTTTAATTGGGTAAATCAATCTCTCAATTGACCTAATTCCTTATTAGCCAAATTATCCTAGATTATGTCTCTCTTTCTCAAGAGAAGACTAAGTCAAATAGGCATGAACTAATGTTTGCAACCATTAATTTCTCAAATTAAAGCATGAACTAAGCTAAATAATAAACACCCAATCATAAAAAAGTACTAAATTAAA